GTCGCTCTGGGCCCCGCGCTCCCGGCCACGAGGGCAGACGTGCCCTCCCTCTCAGAGCCGAGCCTGCGTTTCCTCAACGAGTGCGATGGCCGAGGACGTGGCTGTGACCACGCCAAGCCTGCCAGCGCCACAACTTGGGGAAGCGGACTCTCCCTAAATGTTCAGAATCGCGGACTTTCCCTGCCCCCGAGGACCACGGAGTTTGGAGAAGCAGAGGCGCCTTCCAGCATCTTTAATGGATACGGCGCGGCGCGGAGAGCCGGCAGTCACTTCCAGACCCGGGCTCCCTCCTGCCAAGCATTTAGACCAAATGTGGAGAGAGGGGAAAGCAGGCAATTATCCGAATGTTAAACAGCTGAGTATTTGGAAAACCAAATCTTTGACTGATTTAAAAAACCTTTTCACCCGTTTTCATGTTTCAGACTGTGCTCAAACAACAAAAGAATCAAACTTAAAAAATGTTATAATTGGGCTCAGTAAAATAAGTGGAAACAGTAGCAAGTGACAGATTGGTGGAAAGTTTCCTTTTCCAGTCTCCATGCCAACGCTAGGCTGGGAATGCCGCTGGGTAAATGGGAAAACCAGTCAACATGGATTTTAACATTCCTACAACTTTAAAAAAAATGCTCTATTTCATATTTGCTACTATTGAATGCCAGCTTGGGTAGTGCCTCCGAGCACAGAAAACAGGAAACATCGACACAGCTGTACTTCCTACATGGCTGTTTGGAAAACAATCCTCATAGGCTGTTTTGAAACAGGGTTAGAAACACTTAAAAATAGGGTTGGTTTGGTCTCATATTTCTTTTGATCATGTTGTTTCTGTTGATTGGTTTAATGCTCTAGCGGAGACATGAAGGCCCCTGGTATGACAAATCTTTGCATCTATGTCCAAGTAAGAAAACTGCAGTCTGAAAGTTAGTTCCATTTTATAAATGGAAAAATGAAAGGTTGAATTTGGATTAATTCATAAAAGTAAGTGAGGTGGGAAGGCCACCTACCCACACTGCAATAGAAATGGGCGAGTACTAGTCGCTGGCCTGTCCTGTTCTGTTTCTTCCTGCAGCCTGTTATCTGGCCACAGGAGCCATCCTGCCCAGGAGGACTGCGTGAGGAGCACCCACGTGTGTGTAGTCAGAGTGGAGACTGCGTGTGGCAGCAGACCATCAAGGCCTGGCTGAATCCTGAATCAATGGGCAGCACAGGAGAGCCCACGGGGTCCCACACTTGTGAATCTGACTGAGCTGGTTTGGAATCCCGAGTGGCCATTGGACACGTTACTTACTAGTAACCTTTTAAACCTCTATTTCCTCACCTATAAAATGGATAGAAAATACCAACCTCATGGGTTACAACCTCCATGGGTGTAAAGAGCGTCATGCCTGTGATGTGGTCAGCACAGTGCCTAGGACAGACGGGGAGCCTCGTTAGAGTGATCCCTCACCAAGTCTTGTTACGTGGTGTCCTCTACATTTCAGTCAACACTGACATCGTCATTTTCGTCTTTCCACCAGATTAGATTACAGCCCCCTTGGGATCCTTGTGTGTGATTTCCCGCACACCCTGCTGGCACAGAGCACAATGCGAGGCATGTTAGCAGGCCTCTCAGTAAGTGACTGATGAGGCCGGTCACAAGCCTGTGTTAGCATGCTGTGTAGACGCATTTAATTTACATGAATTGGTTAAATGTAGTCACCAAAAAGCTAGAGGTGTAGATTCTTTCCCTTGTGCAGGTGATTCAGCCACCATTCTACTCAATGGACAAGTGACTGAAATGAGGTACACTGGGAGACACAGCATGTCTTGTTGCCACAGTAATGAGACTGTCTGGCCCCAGGCTGGTGAAGGATCCATCTCAACATGTGCTTCATGATGCCAGTGGAGGGTTGTGCAGTGGGTTACACTGCATCCCCCCAAAAGCCATTTTCCCAATCCCAAATACTGTACCTGTGAATATGACCTTATTTAGTGCTAGGGTCTTTAAAGATGTAATCCAAGCATGTCAAACTCGAGGCCTGCGGGCCACAAGCCTCATTTATTTAAAACCCGCCGGCCACGAGTTGGATATGCTTGATGTAATCAATTAAGATGAGGTCATACCAGATTAGGTTGGGCCCTTAAACTAATGACTGGCATTGTTATAAGAGAAAGTGAGGGAGATGGACATAGATACAAAGAAGACACATACACAGAAGCACACTTGTGCAGATGGAGGCAGAGACTGGAGAGATGTGTCTACAAGCCACGGAACGCCAAAGATCGCCAGCAGCACCAGAGTTGGAAGAGGAAAGGAAGGGTCCTCCCTTCCTACAGCCTTCATAAATACCACACCCTTGACCTCAGACTTCTAGCCTCGAGAACCATGGGAGAACACGTGTCTGTTTTAAGCTACCTGTTGCAGTAATTTCTTATGGCAGCCATAGCACGCTAACACCAGCCACAGCATGCTAACACAGGCCACAGCACACTAACACAGGTGGGTGGAGTTGGAGGGTGACTCAGCAGCCTTCAATGCCTCTGCCTGGAATTGAAGCAATCACTTCTGCTCAGGTTTTAGTAGCTAAACAAGTCACATGACTCTCTTTAAGGGGGTGGACAATGCAAGTCTACAAGGCACTCTAATTTCTGAGAACCAGAAATGTAATGACTAGCACCACATTTTATAGGAAAGGGATCAATCATGGCTTAGACTCCTTAATGAGGGTAATAAACTTTTTATGATATTAATTCTATTATATAAAAGCCCAGGGTCATAACGACCAATCACGACCGAAGGCTGACCAACCCGGAAGTCCTTCAGTCAGCGTTGGGTTGCTGTGGCAACCCAGCACTGACTGCCCCGCTGCAGCCTGGCAACCCAGCACTGACTGCTTAGGGGGCTGAGACCCAGAGAGAGAGGCAGGGTCTGATCCGCAGCCTCAGTGGCAGCTGTTGATCAGTACTTGCCTCTCTCTTTCTCTCCCTCTTTCTTTCTGGGCTTCGCCAGCAGCATGGCCTTTCTTTCTCTCCCAGCCTCTGAGGGGCGGCTGTTCATCCCCGCCACTCTGATCAGGCCCGGAGATAGGCCTGAAGATGCTGACTGGCATAGGAACCGACCAATCAGAACCAAATGTGGGTGCTGTGAAGAACGAATGGCTGCCTAGGAGGCAGAGGTTTTGATGCTGATTGGCATAGGAACCGACCAATCAGAACCAAATGTGGGTGCTGTAAAGAACCAATGGCTATCTAGGAGGCAGAGCTTTTGACGCTGACTGGCATAGAAACCAACCAATCAGAACCAAATTGGCCAGCAGAGGAGGGTAGTTGGGGCCGAGATCAGGCCAGCAGGGGAGGGTAGTTGGGGGCAACCAGGCCAGGAGGGGAGGGCAGTTAGGGGCAATCAGGCTGGCAGGCAGGTGAGCAGTTAGGAGCCAGTAGTTCCAGATTGTGAGAGGGTCCCAGCGGTCCCTGTGGGATCGGGCCTAAACCAGCAGTCGGACATCCCCCAAGGCGTCCCCAGTTGGAGAGGGTGCAGGCTGGGCTGAGGGAACCCACCCCTCCGTGCATGAATTTTGTGCACCAGGCCTCTAGTAATTATTATAAATGCCAACAAAGTGTTTCCTTTGTGTTGTTTTTTAGTTTAGTATTCTTTATACTAGAATTATACAAAGACTCTGAAAGAGTACATGTTTAAGTTGATATTTTCTTTTAGGTGGGTAGTAGACCATCATTTGTTCATTCATTTAACTAAGTACTTACTATGACCAGATGTTGTGGGTGGTACTGGGGGTACAATGATGAGCAAATGGACATGAAGCCAGCCCCTGAAAGTGGACATGAGTCAAATAATCTACACTAATAAAAGAGAAACATGGTAATTGGCGTACGACCGCTACCCTTTTCAATGGCTAATCAGTGAGTATATGCAAATTAACTGTCAGCCAAGATGGCGGCC